AGTGTTGGGGGGAAGGGCGTGCCTTGCCGATTTGATGTTCCCCCTTCTTTCTGCGCTTGCGCATGAGTGGGGCTACGCAGGTTTCTTCCCCTCTTCCTAACTAGTAAGCCTTGAAACTTTCGGGATTCACATTCAGTCAGTGTTCCCCACGTGACCTGTGAGGTTTGTCCTACTTCTCCACATCCTTCCAGACATAACACAACACTCAGGTTTCAGGTATGGTTTTAAGCATTTTGACAAATAGCTAGCTTGCTTTGTGCTGCTAAATTGAGATATGTGTAGATCAGGCCAAAATCCCTTCAGTCATTCAGTCCTTCAGCTAGTCCTTTGAGCTGTTAGGGATGAGAAAGATTCAGCCCGAGCCTCAGTCATGCCACAATGGAGAAGACCAAAAGGCTTATTGAAATGTTCTTCCAAAGAATTTATTTCTATGAAAAGCTCCTGCAAGACTTTTTTGACAGTGGTTCTCAAGAGAGGCCAAATATCTTTGTTTTTAAAAAATACAAATTCTCTGGTCCTTATCCCAAACTTACTTAAAATCTTTGAGATTGGGACTCGGAAATTTGCACTTTCGCAAACAACCTTTATGACCTGATGCAAGTTGTCTGCAGACCACATTTTGCGAATTTGCTGTAAAAGACCTAGCATTTGAACCAGAAGGATGAATAGAAATTGGACTTTCAGAAATGGAAGGGATGGATGTTTTACCTACTCTAAAAGCTTGTGAGGGAAGAGAAAGGGCAGGAATTTGGAACCAGCCAGATCTGGTTTGGTCTACCTTGAGCCTAGTCTGTCGTGTTCCACTTGCTAGCTGTGTGGCCATAGAGTTTGTCTACTTTTAATTTGTGAATAACAATATTGACCTACAGGGTTATTGTGATGAATAAATAAGATCAAGATGAAAAGCTCCAAGCATAGCAACATGCACATAGTAGGCGCTCAATAAATAGTTGTAGTTAAGTTGTTGCTGTTAGCATTGTTGTGTTTATCTTTCAAGGTCCAGCAAACAGATCACCGTTATGTCTTTTTTGATTTTTTATATCACTCGTCACACAAACCAAAAATCTCTCCTCTGAACTCTCTTCAAGACTACATCTGTTCCTCTCTCAAGGCACATGAAACTTTCTACCTTTAAAAAAGTTTTTTATTGTTAGACTATAACCTACTTGAACTCAAAAACTGTAGAAGAATGGTTCTGTTAGCACATATACCCAGAACACCTATCACAGTGCCTCATAGGGAAGGAATACAAAACAAACACTTGATGAAAATGAATTCTTCAGAAGAAAATTTGTCATCATTCTCTACTTTGAGAAAGAAAAAAAAAAAAAAAGGCCTGATTCTACTCTGGGACCATCTTAGAACTTCATTATAGGTGATCTTTAAAGAATGACTGACTATTAAAATTTAAAGAAAGTCATAGGTATTTTCCTATACATTACCTCATGAGATTTTGAAACACTCCTCATGGAAATTTATGTAATTTAAAAATTAAGAATATGTGCTAACGTGTTAGACAACCTGGGTTCAAGAAATGCCTGTGCTACTTAACAGCAATGTATCCTTAGGCAAGAGTCTTCTCTCAATTTTTTTGGTCATTGTTCCTTTTTGCATACCATTCCTTCCTCCTAAGTTTAATTTCCTTCTTCACAAAGTAAATCTCTCAGGAAGAGTCTTTGAGAGGTAAACTCTCTTAGTCTTTGTGTTATGGGTTGAATTGTGTCCCCCTAAAAAGATATGTTGAAGTCCTATACCCAGTATCTCCAAATGTCATCTGTTTGGAAATCCAGTCTTTACAGGGGTAATCATGTTAAAATGAGGTTGTTAGGGTGGGCCCTAGTCCAATATGTCTTAGTCCTTCAGGCTGCTTTAACAAAATACCACAGACTGGGTAGCTTATAAAAAACAAACTTATTTTTCACAGTTCTGGAGACTGGAAGTCCGAGATCATGGTGCCAGCATGATTTTATGAGGGCCCTCTTTTGAGTTGCAAATTGCTGACCTCTTGCTATGTCCTCACTTGGTGGAAAGGGCAAGAGATCTGTGGGGTCTCTTTTATAAGATCCAGTAATCCCAATCCTGGGTATATATCCAAAAGAATTGAAAACAGGGACTTGAACAGATATTTGTATAGCCATGTTTATAGCAATATATTTACAATATCCAAAATGTGGAGGCAATCTAAGTGTCCATCAATGGATGAATGGAAAGATAAACAAAATATGGTATATACATACAGTAGAATAGTATTTAGCCTTTAAAATGAATGAAATTCTAACACATGCTACAACACCGGTTAACCTTGAGGACATAATGCTAAGTGAAATAAGCCAATCACAAGAAAACAAACACTGTATGATTCCACTTATATGAGGGATTTAGAGTAGAACGGTGGTTGCCAGGAGCTAGGGGGAAGGGGAAGAATGCAGAATTATTGTTTAATAGCTATAGAGTTTCATTTTTACAAGCTGAAGATGGAGGGTGGTAATAGTACCATGACATTATGAATGTATTTAATACCTATAACTATACAATTAAAAATGTTTAAGATGATAAATTTTGTTATGTATATTTTACCACATTAAAAAAAAAATGGAATCTATGGCCATGTTGCCCTGAACAAGCCCAATCCCATCTGATCTCGGAAGCTAAGCAGGGTTGGCCTGGTTAATACTAGGATGGGAGACTACCTAGGAAGACCAAGGGCTATAAAAAAAATTTAAAAATCAGGGATTGTAAACTGACAAGTTTCTTGCAATCTGTGAGGTCAACCAAGGGTTGCCTTGCCAAATAAATAAATAAATAGATAAGTAAGTAAAAAAATAAAATGGAAAAGTTTTATTTGTTTCTTCCTAATAGTGTTTATAATTAGAACATAATGAACAAAATTTCTGTTTTTAAATTTCTTTACAATGTCTTATCATCTGAGGTTTTTCTAGTGTGAATTCTTCCACTGGGGGCATTTAATGGTCTTTCTTATGACAGCTGATTTTCTCATGCGACTCGTAAGTTTTTGACTTAGAACCTATCTTCAGTGTCTAGCATGTCTTGAGCTGTAGAAACATTCCTAAAAATGGCTTCACATTCACTTTTACAAAAGCCTTATGGGATTCATGGGTTCCAAACTAGTTTTTATGTTAATCCTTAACAATACATGAATGAAGCAAATTTGGGGGAAAATAAAATTTTCCCTGAGCATAAATTTGGCAGAATGTGATATACATTTATAAACTGGAAACCACTGTAATATTTTTCCATATCTCCTTTTCATTCAGGGCTTCAAAACAGTTATTTCCTTTCTCTTTCTAGAGCTTCTAAAGTAGCAGGAAGAGATCGTCTATAAAAGCCTTGAGGTGTATGCAGTACTTAGACATTTTCCTAGAGAGCAACCATGATGTGCTCACTTCTATTACTTTCAGAGAAAAAAATAGACTTCACACTGAAGGCTGCACTAGTACAGGGATGTACTACTTCTGAGATTCAATCAGTCTACAGTTGTGGAACTTAGAAAGGTGATCTACTACTCCTCAGTTCTGCTTACCTATGCTCTGCTTATTTATTCATTCAACAAATACTTATTGAACATCTGTTAGGCAGTGATTTAGGCCCTTCAATCTAACAGTAACAAGAGACAAACTCCCTCACTTCATGGAGCATTTCACACATTTCTCCACATTCCAGTGGGGAAAGACAAACAATAAACATTCAAACAAATAATTTCAAATATTAATAAGTATTATTAAGGAAGAAAACAATGGTGTGGTTAGAGATTGGCTGAGTGGAGGCCACTTAGGTGTGGGAAGCTTTATGGAAGGACCTAATATGTGAGCTGAAACTTGAAAATTAGAATGAGCCAGCTATGCAAAGAGCTGGGGAAAGAGCATTCCAAACAGAAGGAATAGCAGGAGCAAAGTATTTGGGATCGAAACAGGCATATTTGAAGACCAAAAGGAAGAAGCTAGATAGGGAAAATGGTAGAATGTGACATCAGAGAGTTGGGCATGGGGCCAGACCATGAAAGACCTTGTAAGCTACAGTCAGGGGTTAGAATATTATTTTGAGTGTGATAGGAAGCCATTGAATGATTTCAAGCAGGAGACTGACACAATCTGAAGAGATTGATATGATCCCATTTTAAGGAGATCATTGTGGGTTCTAGGTAGAGAAGGGATTGGAGGGAGCAAGAGTGGAAGCGAAGAGACCAGTTAGGAGAGTATTGCAGTAGTACAAGAGACAGATGATGGTGGTCTAGGCAAAGATGATGGCAATGGAGATAGAGAGAAGTGGACAGATCCAGGTAGAGGTTACTGAACTCAGTGAAGAAATGGATTGGGGATGGTGGAGATGGCAATAAAAGAAGAGAAATCAACGATGATTCCTAATCTCCAAATAATTATACTGAGAGAAAGAAGCCAGAAAAAAGAAAAAGTAACATACTATATGATTCTATGTATACAAAATTCTAGAAAATGCAAATAAATCTAAAATGACAGAAAGATGGTCAGCAGTTGCCAGATAGGGTTGGAGATGAGGGAGACTAGGGAGGAGGCAGAAGGAAGGGATTACAAAGGAGCATTAAATAATTTTCATGGTGATAGATATGTTTATTACCTTGAGTGTGGATGTGGTTGCCTGGGTGGGGACTTATCAAATTGTACACTTTAATATATGTTGTATGTCAGTTATACCTCAATAAAGCTGTTTTAAAATAAAGACTCTTATGTTTTTGACCTGAGCAAACTAGTTGAATGGTAATATTGTCTACTGAGAAGAGAAAATTGATTCTTATGATATAGCCTGCATGGAGTCTCAAAGCCACTCTGTAGGAATCATAAGAATAACCCTTC